GCCACACCCACGCGGGGGAGCCTCCCCGCCCCAGGCGCGTATCGCTTCTGTGCGCTCCACCTAAGAGCCCGCCCCGCTCCCGGGGCCCCTCCCCTACCTGGTCCCGCTCGCGGCGTACGCCGGCGTCAGCGTGGCCTCCGCCGCTCGCCCCGCCCCTGCCGGTGTTGGAACCTGCGCAGTAGAGCTTTAGTGTGTGACCGCGGGCGCGCTACGCTACACCTGTGTGTGAATCTTTATTTATCTAAATAACCAGAGACAAGAAAGACCAGCGTTTTTAAGGGGACGCCATTTTTCACCCCATTACTCCCAAAGGCACATAGAGACGGTGCTCTCCGCGTTGCGCTTTCTCGTCAGAAGTATGAGCCGCGGAGACGGAAGAGAGGAAACCTAGTTTGCCGTGCGGCCGCCCACTTCCCCGTCGCCTAGTAACTGTTTCCATGGCAAGCGCGCGGTCGAGGACGCTAAGCAACCGCGAGAATAGAAAGGGTATCTTCTTCCCGGCAGAGGACTGCGCAGAGGAGGTCAAAGGGGAATTGTGTGAAGAGAGAAACCTTAGTTCCTTGAGAAGGCAAGAGGGAGGAAAGGAAAGGGGAAGCAGTGAAGAAAGGGACGGAGATATTGGTATTTTGAGGGGGAAAAAGTTGAGTTTTGAGGAGTTCATTTGGTGGCCATGGATCCAACATGCTCTTCTGAGAGTATTTATAACCTCATACCCAGTGACTGGAAGGAGCCTCCCCAGCCTCCTAGGTATGTGGGCAATACAAGATTATCGCCTGAAACAAGAATGGGGAATAATTATTCTATTTCAGGGTTAACAAAGCATCATATGACTTTTAAAAAGAAAGAAGTATTTGTGTCTCGATGAAGTAGCCTTGGGCAGATGATAACTTCTTAAAGAAAAGCTTGCAAAATCTAGGTACTTAGCATGTCAATATTCAGAGAGGGTGATCCAGTGTTGTTAGACTAGGGCCATTTTATGTTAGCCCCTTGTAATATGGTATGTAATTGTTTTGTAATTTATCTGATTGTTCGCACATGATATGTGGTATATAATAGCATAAAAATTCGTGTTGAAAAAAGAAAATCACAATTTTATTATGCTGTGTTTGGCTACTTGATATTTGGTTTCAAGAGTTCATTCCTTTATTTCTGACTGCTCTTTTTCTAAGGGGATAGTACTTATTTTAACCCCAAGATTATTGTCAAATATAAATTTGTTTCTGAGCTTCAACTTTTTTGATTAGTGAAACAAAATAGACAGACTGGATCGTTTCTAAAGTCTTTTACGGGTCTAATAGATGGAAGAAAGAGTGGATGGATAGAGAACCAAAAATATGTAATTGAGTTAAAAATTTTACATGAATGATAGGACCTCTTAAATTCCCCAGTTTCAAAAAGGTCATCACAAAGTAAACATCCCATTTACTCTCCTGTGTAGGGACTTAGAACTTATTTAAATCTGTGGGGTGAAAAGAAGGTAAGTAGTGGAGAAAATCTCACTCCTAGGTCTTTGCTGTCTTTTACCTTTTTCCTTTTCCTGATTCAAGTCAAAGCCAAATTGAAAGAGCACTGGGCTAGGGGTAAAAACAAAACAAAAAACAGGGGCTGCAACTAATTGGTTTGGGGATCATGAATAAATTTTCATTTGTTTTCTGATCTGTAAAACAAACTAAATAATGTTTATGGCCCCTTTCAGATCTAATGGTCAGTTATTTTTAGGGGTGCATAACATCTTCAACAAGTGGACACATCCTTCCTTTTTAAGCCTGAGTATCTTTGTTTTAAGCAGAGCATTACCTACATTGTTTTCCATTAGCTTCTCAAAATCTAGTGGAAATTGGAAAGGGGAATATAAAGAAGATATGGTACAGTTGCACAGTTTATGAGGAGTGTTTAACTATTGCTGAGTGGACTTTTGGTCCAAAATTCCTATATATTGTACAAAATAAAGCTCCTCGTCTCTGAAACCCACTGGTAGATTGTATTTTCTATAGAGTACTGAATTTGAATGATAAATTATTTTATTAGATAGGTGTTCTGTTCATTGGTAAATTATAAAGCTTTACTATGCATCTAGGTGATTTTTTTCAATAAATTTTATAGGAACAATCTTTATTCATTGGCAAGCATTACCTGAGATCCTATTATGTGTGTAATATTGCCCTTGGGGAATTTTGGAGTCACTGCACACAAACTCCTTGGTTTACTCTGAAGGACTGTGTAAGAAAAAGCAACTTATGGTGAAGGGAATAGAAGGCGTCCTAATATGCTACAGAATTCTCTCTGTTAGAAAGTCAGCCTATACTGTTAGCAACAACCATGAGGAGTTTTAGTTTGACAGAATGCATGAAAAGCACTAATTCATAAAAAGAGAGCATAAGTAAATATTTAACTAATTCTTTCTTACCACACTAACACAGACTTGTCCTGGCTCAAACCCTTTAGTGATAGTAAAAATTTAATCATAAGAAATGTATTAAT